GTCCCCTCGATGGCTGGGCGAGAAACAGAAGGCACATCTTCGTCTGCATGTGTCTTTGATTTCCCTACTGCTAGCCTCAGCTCTAGCCTTGTTCTAATAACTCTTGTCAGTTTGCTAAACTAATGATCAATGGGGGATTTCCACAGAGGAGGAGTATTACTGGGGCTGGTGTGTCACTGCATTGAAGCCTGCAGGCTTTACGATTACTTGTAAGTAACAATAAAGGGGTTGGGTGGGGGGGGGGTGTGAGGTAAAATATACAGGTCACGCCTTTGCCAGTTTTCCTGTCTCCTCAGATCGCAGACTAAAATTATCCCTCAACATTTCTTTTTCACCTGTAGGGATTCATGTCCATCTACGGGGCTCAATGTGCCCTCTGCTGGAAAATGATCTCCTCCGCATTAAAAAGCATTCCACATTTTTAAAGCCCTCCTCCACCACCACGCCCCCGACTCCCCTAACCCCACCACCACCACTGGTTTAATCTCATTTAGGAAAGGATGTGAAAGCAGTTCAGATTTGGTTTACACGTGTGATACTACGGATGGGGCAGGCTATGTTCTGGGGAAAAATTGTGCAGACTGGGCGCCCATCATTTACGGTTTAAAAGAATGAGAGGTTATCTCATAGAAATGAAACATAGAAGATCCTGAGGGAACTTCCCTTGTGGGGAAGACTAAAACTAGGGGAAACATTTTGAAAATAAGGGGTTGCCCATGTAAGATGGAAATGATGTGTTTGTATTTCAGGAGTACCATGAATTGAATTAGGTTTATTGTCACGTACTCACATGAGAACAGTGAAAATTTTACAAGTTGCCACTTATGGTGCCATCTTAGGTACAAAGGTACCTAGGTACAGAATACATGCACTCATATTCTCTGACTGGGAATCGAACCCAGGCCATACCAGTGAAAGCACGAAGCCTAATTACTGGTTCACTAGGGAAAGTCTGTGAATGTCTCTTCCCCAAAAACTATTGAATGCTTTTAAATCTGAGTTAGATAAATTCTTGATTAATTTGTAGCCACAACCAGATTGTCATAAACAAATTGAATTGTGGACCAGATTCAAAAGGGTTCGACGGCCTGCTCTGCACCTTATATGTTTGTATGTTAATTCTCATTTTCACAAATTTTTTATTCTGCTTTGTTGCAATTGGCATTTTATGTCAAATTTTCACAAATCTATCGAAATACTACCCCCAATTTCCCCAATCTTACGTAAAGTACACAACAAGCTACATTTCTTGGATGCAAATCTTTGACATATGCCAAGAAATGTAACCCATTTACACGAGACTAGAAAGTCGAATAAATTAAGCTGTTACAATAAATAGCACCATAATTTGTTTCTGATGGATTTTGTTTTTCATAGGGAGAGGATAGTACTGTATAGTATATATTGCAACATGAGCTGTTGTAATGGTTGAGTTGTTGGGTGCATAATGGAAGGCAATAGTTAAATCACCTGGACCTGATGGGAGGTATTCTAGGATATTGCAGGAAGTAGCGACAGAGATAGTGAACACAATGATAGTAATCTTTCAAGAATCCTTAAGTTCTGGAAGAGCTCAAGAGGATCAGAAAGTAGCCATTGTAACATCTTTATTTAAAAAAGTGAAGAAACAAAAAAAAAGTAACCATCGCCTAACATCTGTTATTGGGAAAATTATAGAGTCTATTATAAGGAATGTAAGAACAGAGCATTTAGAAATACTTAATAAGATCAAGCAGAGTCAGTACAGTTTCATGAAAGGGAAATCATGCCTGACAATTGTATGAGAAATCTTTGAGGATGTAACAAAGAAGGTAGATGAAGGGGAAGCAGTGGGTCTAATATATTTGGATTTTCAGAAGACATTTAGTAAAGTTCCACATGTTGGGCCACTCCAATAAGGTAAGAGTTCATGGTGTTAGAGGTAGCATGGATAAAGGATTGGCTAATAGAGAACAGAGAATTGGGATAAGGGACCATTTCAGGATGGCAACCTATAACTAGTGGGGTGCCACAGGGACCAGTGTTGTGACCAGAATTGTTAACAATATGTTTTACTGACTTGGACATGGAAAGTGAATGTACTATAGTCACATTAGCAGATGGCATAAAAAAAAGGGAAAGATAAGTAATTATGATGACACGAAGAGTTGGCAGAGGGACATAGGTAGGTTAAACAAGTGGGCGAAAACTTGGTAGATGGAATATATTGTGGGAAAATGTGAGGTTATGCCCTTTGGTAGGAATAATAGAGGAGCTGAATATTATTTAAATGGGGAAAGACTGCAGAAAGCTGCAAAACAGAGGAATTTGAGAGACCTCATCCATGAAGCACAAAAAGCACAAAATCAGTTCACCAGATAATAAGAAAGGCAAATAGAAAGTCGGCCTTTGTTTCAAAGGGAATGGAGTATTTAAGTAAGGAGGTTTTGCTAAAACTACACAAGGATCTAGGCAGGTTACAGCTGGAATACTGTGAGCAGTTCTGGGGCCTTTACCTAAGGAAACTATATTGGCATTGGTGACAGTCCAGAGAAGGTTCACCAGACTGATAGCAGGCATGGAAGGATTGTCTTAGGAGGAGAGTTTGACTAAGCTCAGCCTGTTCTCTTTGAAATTCAGAAGACAGAGAGGCAACCATTTTGAAACATACAATATTCTTAGGCTATTTGAAAGGGTAGATATGGAAAGGTTGTTCCCCCTTGTGGGAGAATCTCGGACCACATTCAAGACAGAGATGAAGAGGAATTTCTTCTCTAAGCATAATGAATCTTTGGAATTCTTTACCTCACAGAGCTGTTGAGACTGGGTCAGAGACAGATTTTTAATCAGTTCAGGGAATCAAGGGTTATAGGGAAAAGGTAGGAAAGTGAAGTTGAGGATTATCGCATCAGCCATGATCTCACTGAATGACTGAACAGATTTAATTGGTTGAACGGCATACTTCTGTTCCTAATTCTTATGGTCTTATGACCCATCCTAAAGGCAGTTCAAAATGACATGAGCAACATAAACAACAGTGCCATACACAGGATCCTCGGTGAAAGGAATGCAAGGTTGCACTCGGGAAAGCAAGGTGCAAAGCCTCCCAAGTCACCATCTGAGGAAATCGTCATATAAACTTGTCAGTATCAAAAGAGTAGGGACATGGACAATATGAACAATGAACAGGAAAGGAAGGCTCAATAACCTGAAAAAAGAAATGGGGAAAAGAGAAATTAAACATCTTGAGGTCGTATGAAGTATAGAGAACAGGAGAAGGCAACTTCATGTGTGATCAAATGAGAATTTATACTGAGGAGGAGAAGGAAAAGAATTAGAAATAGCAGTAATGTTTCACAAGGATACTGTTAAATGTGTGAGTGAAGTCAAATGAAATGCAGATAGACTGAAGCCAGTGAAACTGAAGGACGAACGGATGATATTTTCATCAGTCAGGTACATATGCCTATATTGGAAAATCCAGATGAGGAAGTCGATTAACTGTATGATACGACTGACAAACTAAGCAAACAGTAGTGTGGGTAGAACTATGCATTTCTTATGGGAGATTGGAACAGTATTGTTGAAGAAGAAAGAGATCATAAAGGACTAAAAACCCTGAAAAAAGAAATGAGTGGGACCAAAACTGTTAGTTCTTTGCAGAAAACAGGATACATGATAACAAATATACGGTTTATGCATTATAAAGGAAAATGACATACATCGAAAATGTACACTTTAAATGCATATTTCAACTGGAACATACTATGGTGAGACAAATATACAGAAAAAGGTTAGCAATGAATAGTTAACAATTAACAAGCTCATAA